AGTGATCGTGACGAAAATTGTTACTTTTTTACTGGTTAATGCTAAATTCATTAAATCACAGAAAACGTATTAGTTTTAGGTATAAATACTGATCAGGTTATTGGTCAGCGTATCGGCCCCAGTATAACTTTACCTCTATATAAAAAAATTGACAGAGTTGCAGGTTTTCGTTCTTTTTGTGGTATATTTGTAATTAACCAAGTCATCTTCTGAATTTCTGGCTTTTGGCAGAAACTCAGAAGACAAACTTTTGATCAGTTAGTAGTTCTAGTTCATTAAGCTCAGAGCATTCAGGTTGAAAACATTTGTCATAATAGATATCACCAAGTATAAAGATTTAGCTGCTGGTTGGACGTCATGAAAGAATGAATCCACATAGTGAAGTTGTGTGTTTCACGTCTCACCTTCCTTCCCACATATACAGGTATACCAATGATCATGGCGGGGATCGCAATCCCAGCAATCAGTGCGATTCCAACAGGGGCGCCCACAAGAGTCCCCAGCTGCCAAAGGATCTTCTTCTTCCTGCTCCACGGCTTCTTCCCCCAGAATGTGCATCCTGACGGACTGAAGCAGGCAAATGAGAAAATGAGTCATCGTTTTATAAATCAATCAATAACAACATTGGAAACAGAAAGGGAGACAGAAAATAAGATTCCAGAAGAGCTAGAAAACAATCCACTGGACTTTGTTTTCAAGTTTGCAGACGTTTGCTGCATACTCTCTAACCATGATGTGAAATAATAAATAACGCAGCTCTGGTCAAGGCAATGAAATTACTGTTTTCATACCCAGTCATTTAAAAGCATTGCAGTGAATCCGATTAAAGAAAGAAAGGGAAATGTCAACCCTGTGTTGTTGTGCAATTTGTCAATATTTTGGACTCAAGCCGAAATTCTTACCTCAAGTAGTGCAAGTCTGAGATCTCCTTCATGCAGAGCCAGCAGAACTCACAGCCGCAGACGGCACAGGTCATGTGGTTACAGCTGCCATCATTCATTTTGATGATGTAAGCGGCGCAGCGAGGACAGGGTTTAATGTCGTCGGCTGCAACAGACGGAACACGACGTACGAGTGGAAAATTAGAGAGAGTCCACTTAACAAAAAAGACGTGTTACTGAGACATTGGTCAGCTGTCATAATACAGCACAGAGGAAGCAGCTGCCTCTGCTGAGCGCCCTATTTACAAATGGTTAACAATGACATTGAAATGGTCTGACAGCCAATAAACTAAAAAAATAAAAATATGCTTTAGTCCCCAACAAACATTACTCAGCTCATTTGACGTAGGAGGAAAGGAGAAATGTAAAGAAAAAAAAAAAGAAAAAAAAAGAACAGCACTAATCATAATGCGGCTATGGAGTCATATTAAATACATTCTTAAAATGACCTTTAAACATTCTTAAAGGAAAAGTCCGGTCATATTCAGAATTCAAACTTCTGAAAGTACTTTAAATATGAAATTATTCCATACTGTTCAATAAATGATGTTTTTAATTAAGAGGAATTTTTATGTGAATGTGCTTTACTGGAGGCATCCATGTTTG